TGGCCACCCGWTTGGCGRCTTTCCTGTTCAATGGTMCGGATGGCYAGCAATATGGCCGGCAGTATCCGATTGAGACTGTAGGGTGAATCGTTGCTAACCGGTCCCAATACGGCTATTTTTAGCCGYCTATTCCCGTTAATCCCGTTGTTCCCGTTTTCTAGTTGTTGTTGTTGTAGTGTTTGATTKTYCAGATTCCTGGTTGTACGGGATATATCCTGTTTRATCTCTTTGACGATTACCGGACWAACCAATTGTCCGGTTAATACAATTAATACTATAGTTATTAATAAATAGTTTACTAATAATTTTGTTACTATTATATTATTATTATTATTAAACATTATTATTATTAATTAATTATTATTAATAATATTTTTATTATTTAATATATGTATTTTTTAGTTGATAATATTTTTTTTTTAAAAATTGGCACCAAATTAAATATATATATTTTTTTTATACATATAAAAAATCCAATAAATATATATTTAATTTAATAATAGATTAATAATTATTAATAATATTTTTTCTAAAAATTATTTTTKTTATTTAGATRATGTTATCACAAATATTTYTAATTTATTTATTAAATTATAATTAATTAATTAATTAATTTTTTTTAAAAATAAATAAATATTAAAAATCACATTTTATGTTGATATGAATGATGTATTTTTTTGTTGAGGGGTTAAACTTGAATTTAATAATTTATTTTTTAAATAATAATAATAATTATTATTTAAAATATTTATTATATATATATAATATTTTATACAAACAAACAAACAATAATTTATTATTACATTGAAACTCAAGGTAGTTATCATAATATTTTACATAACTTTTTTTATAAAATTTAATAAATTATTTTTGTTTTCAATTAAAATTAATAATACAATAACTTTTTTTGATTTTGATTTTTTTAGCACATTATAAATTTATTTTATTAATAAAAAACAATATATATTTTTTATGTTCAACTAATATCATTGAATTATATTATATATATATAAAAAACATTAAACTATACACACAATGAAAAAAACTACTAATAAATTAAGTAAAGTTTCAAATTATTTAGTTATTTTTAAAAAATATTAATTCATATAAATATTATTAAAAACTAAYATTTTTTATGAAATAAATAATAATATAAAAAGTTTAATATTAGTAATATATAACTAATATTCAATWTAATAATAATAATCACTGATTAACATTACATATAATAATAAAGTTTTTTTTAAAAAAAATWWTCAACAAAATACTGAATATTTAAATTAATWTTTTTTAGGAAAAAATTATATATATATATATTTTTTTTGTTGCTTTAGTTATCAACAGTTTTTTTAKATATTATTATTTTTGGTTTGTTTTATTAGTATTAGTAGTACTRGTAATAGGTTTCCCATAACAGTCAACACATACTATCATATGTTATGTGTCTATCTATCTCTCTCTCTATTGCCGACTATCTATATCTCTCTCACTTTTTGACTAACGGTGCTCAACACACACACACACACACACACACACACATAGACAGTCATAATCTCTCTCTCTCTCTCTCTCTCTCTCTCTCTCTCTCTCTCTCTCTATATATATATATATATACATATATGTGCTACGAGTGCGCGCCTATCTCTGTATATATATGACTCCTACCATTGACTTTACGATTCTGTATATAMAACACACACACACACACAGAATATTCCTGTTTTATTATATATATATATATATATATATTATACAGTACTTCAATGTGTAATACTATTTGATCCCTATATATAATCTATTATATTTCTGTATATCTATTGATATATATATATATATATATATATATATATATATAWATATATATATATATTATATATAAGGTGTCGCCTAAAATATTTATAATGACAACACAACACTAACTGACTGATTGATTGACKGCTTTATTAAATTAAATACACAACTGGTGTCTGTATGTGTGTGTGTGTGTGTGTGTGTGTGTGTGTGTGTGTGTGTGTGTGTGTGTGTGTGTGTGTGTGTGTGTGTGTGTGTGTGTGTGTGTGTGTGTGTGTGTGTGTGTGTGTGTGTGTGTGTGTGTGTGTGTGTGTGTGTGTGTGTGTGTGTGTGTGTGTGTGTGTGTGTGTGTGTGTGTGTGTTTTAATTTGATTGACAAATTATATAAAATAGCTAAATATCTAAATTTTTTATATGTAAAAAATTTGATTATTTTTATATTTTATTAAATAGTAATATAATATAAAATAATTTTAACAACAAAATAATTACATTAGTTTTTCATCATTTTAGGTAAAATAWGATTTTAATTTAAATAATATTTAKATTAACTRAAAATAAATTTAAAYGAWATTACATTAGTTATTATATGTATAATAAAATTAATARTTTTTATTATATTAAAAACTTAWATTTWATTTTTTTAAAAAAAAGTAATTACTTTWTAATAGAAATAAAATTATAGTAATTCATTAAAAAAWATATAMTAAAAWTAAAACTATAAACTWATTTTAACAAGCTAAATTAAYTAAAWAAATATTAACATAATGTACATTTACATGTAATATTAATAATGATTATTAAAACTTTAATATATWTAAAAAAAATTTTTAACTATTAATACATATWATACATTAAGTTTTATRAATSAAWRTTATTATAAAACAAACTTAAAAAGCTATTATTAATAAATAATTTAWTATATTTTTTAAAATAAAAATTCAGATTAAATAAAAATTACTAAAATATTTAAATACATTGGAAACAAAAAAAAATAAATAAAATATTTATATATTRTTAACTTAGATAAAAATAGTCAATGTCCAAAAAATATATATATATAAAATAAATTTTTTATATAAACTTTATATACAAATATATAAGTTATATAWTATTTATTTATTTTTATTATCTTAAATATACTGTAATAATAATAATACTATTATATTATAAA